CACCAACCTCTGCAGGTTCCCCACCACCACGGTGAGGCAGTCTCTCAAGCTGCTGGGTCACATGGCGTCCTGCACCTATGTGTAGTGCAACACGCCAGACTACGTCTCAGACCCCTACTGATGTGGTTGGCGTCTGTATATCTACCGGGCCATGACAACCTAGATATGGTGCTTACGGTCCTGAGCCCCACGCTCATTTCCCTGCGCTGGTGGCTGGACCCTCAAACGGTGGGGTCCCGTTTCATCCTCCTCAACCCACCCTGACTCTGGTCACGGATGCATCCGCGCTGGGATGGGGGGCTCACCTCAAAGACCTGACAACACAGGGTCTGTGGCAGGAAAACGAGCTAACTCCATATCAGTATCAAGGAACTCAAGGTGATCCGCCTTGCATGTCAAGTGTTCCTTCCCCACCTACGAGACTGTTGCATGGAAGTTCTGACAGACAACACCACGGCCATTTTTATCTGAACAAACAAGGCGGAGTCTGGTCATCGCAGCTCTGCCACGAAGCCCTTCTTCTGAGAGAATTCTGATTAGCTGTCGGAGAAAAACTGTTCTCACTCTTTGGTTAGTTGCAGCAAAATCAGATACTTTATTCTCAAGCAATTGCATAGAGGGAGAGAGTGCACTAGAACACAGGGTCTCCCCCTCCTAGGCAGGTCTCTCTACAGGTAAACAATTACAGCAAGCATTTATACCTTTTGTTACAGACAATAATAAGCAACAGCTGCATTTTGTTTATACATAGGTCATCCTGATATCTTATTTTTCTCACTTACTTAGACTCTAGTCTACATTCCATATTATCTACACAAGGTCGCAACAACTTCTCACACAGTTCTTTCCCACTCACCTCACACAATCCTCGCTTCTACAAATCTTGCGTTTTTAGGGTTACAGTTAGCCTGACTCTTGCTAACAAAGACTGTTTGCATTTGAAATTCCCTTCCAATCCCTGTCAGGCCTTGCTCTGCTTCCATATAGCCCACTCCATCACTCTCCAAGCTTCGTACCTGCCGGGTGTTCAGAACATGCTGGCAGACAGCTTGAGCAGACGCTTCCTCACGCACGAATGGTCGATTCGCCCGGACATCATCTACTCTATCTTCCGCACCTGGGGGTTTCCCCAAATCGACCTGTTCGCTTCACGGACCAACAGGAAGTGCCCAGCCTTCTGCTCCTTCAGGGGTCACAGTCCGGGCTCGATCGCGGACGCTTTCCTGGTCTCGTGGTCGGGCCAGCTTCTCTACGCCTTTCCGCCATTTCCGCTGATCCACAAAGTACTTCTCAAAGTACTCCTGGAAAGCTGTAAACCCTCTACCAGACTCACTTATGAAGCTAAATGGAAAAGGTTTTCCACCTGGTGCGCCCAGCAGCAGGTATCCCCGCTCCAAACTCCGATACCCTGCATCCTGTACTACTTGATGCACTTGTAAGACCAACATCTCGCCTTCAATTCCCTTAAGGTTCACCTCACGGCCATTTCAGCATTCCATTCAGGAGCGGCGGGACACTCAGTGTACGCACACCCAGTCGTGCGGCGCTTCCTGAAAGGTTTGGAAAAGATCCATCCCCCGATGAAACCTCCCGTGCCAGCCTGGGACCTGAACTTGGTTCTCTTCTGTCTGATGGGACCTCCTTTCGAGCCACTGGCTTCCTGTTCACTCCTCTACCTTTCCTGGAAGGTCGCCTTTCTAGTGGCCATTACTTCGGCACGCCGGGTTTCCAAACTACGAGCTCTCACATGTGAACCACCTTATACCATCTTCCACAAGGATAAAGTTCTGCTAAGGCCTCACCCAGCCTTCCTGCCAAAAGTGGTATCTCGTTTCCATGTAAGCCAGGACATTTTCCTGCTGGTTTTCTACCCGAAACTGCATGCCAACCTTCAGGAGCAGTGTTTTCATTCACTGGACGTTAGAAGAGCTCTCACCTTCTATATAGACCGCACAAGGTCATTCCGTAAGACGACCCAACTGTTCGTCGCCATCGCGGAATGGAAGAAGGGCACTCCGGTCTCTGCCCAGTGGATATCTTCATGGATTACCGCATGTATCCATACCTGCTACAATCTGGCAAAAGTCCCTCCGCCTGCTGTTACGGCTCACTCCGCAAGGGCTCAGACATCGTCTGTGGCCTTTCTGGCAAATGTGCCCCTTCAGGACATCTGCAGGGCTGCCACATGGGCCTCAGTGCATACCTTCACGTCACACTACGCCATAGTCCAGCAATCCCGCGATGATGCGGCCTTCGGCAGGGCTATTCTTCAGTCGGCACTACCTTGACTCCAACCCCACCTCCAAGGTAAGGCTTGGGAGTCACCTAACTGGAATTGATATGAGCAAGTACTCGAAGAAGAAAAACAGTTACTCACCTCTTTGTAACTGTTGTTCTTCGAGATGTGTTGCTCATATCTATTCCATTCCTCCCCACCTTCCGCTCTGTCGGAGTAGCCGGCAAGAAGGAACTGAAGGGGGGTCGGGCCGGCAGGGCCTTATATAGAGCGCCATATCGGCGCCACTCCAGGGGGCTCCACAGCCAGCCCGATGGGTAGCTGCTAGGGAAAAGTTTTCCGACTTCCATGCACGCGGCGCGCGCACACACCTAACTGGAATAGATATGAGCAACACATCTCTAAGAACAACAATTACAAAGAGGTGAGTAACCGTTTTATCAGTGTGGTTGACTATCCGTGATGGACAGCACTGTCCTGGCTGAATGACACTGTTGTCCAAGTAATAATGAGGCTGCTTTTTCAGCTGCGTATTGGTGAGTCTGCTGTAGACTTGCTTTGTTTATCCTTGGTTGGAGGGTACTGAAAATAATCTTGTACTCTTGTTCATCTTCACCTAGGGGTGGGGAAGGCATACAGAAGAATGGATTGCAGTATCAGTATGCTGATGATACATAACTATCCCATTTTATTAACTCATTCTTGACTGTCATCCAGTGAGCAGACTTTCTAGGTAACTCTTATTATGATGAGAAAACTGGTTAAAACTCTATCCAAAAGAAGACTGAGGGTAGTGATTATGGTTTTAATCAGTTTGACAGATGTGCCTGTCTTTTCTGGAGACTACGGAGGGTGTTGGTAAAATAAGTCAGAGAATAGACAACCCTCCTGCTTTCTGAGCCTGGACATACTGTTGTGGTTATTACCATCTGACAAGTCCCTCCCTGTCTGCAAGGCTGACCTGCCTCCACCATCCATAACTTTGTGAAATCTAGACTAGATTACTAGGTGCTCCATAGTTTGGCTTCCTTTGAAATTGATTTACAACAAGCTGCAAAATGTGGCCTCTTAGGGTACATCTACACAGCAAAAAAGACCTAGGGCAGTGAGTCTGAGTCTGGGTCAACTGACTTGGGCTTTTGCTGCAGGGCTAAAAATAGCAATTTAGACATTAAGGATTGAGCTGGAGACTGGGCTCCAAGACTCTCCCCACTCACTGAATTTCAGAGCCCAGGCTGCACCCAAAGTGTCTACATTGCTAGTTTTAGCCCTGCAGTACAAGCCCAAGTCTATTGACTTGGGCTCTGCTGCAGGTGTGTTTTGCTAGGTAGATGTACCCTTACTTGCTACTCACGATAGCAAATGGAATTGAGTCAGTCGTGCTCATCCTTTGGGACCTGCTCTAACTCATGGCATTCTACCGGATTCAATTGGATATCCTTGTATATAAAGACTTCCATAACTGAGAAATTATTCTTAGCAATGTGGGTATTTCTTGTAAGAGTTTACTATAAGGTTCCCATAAAGTTTTTTTGATTATAAGGTGCCCAGATGTCATGACTGGGCATGATATAAATCAGTAGATATAAAATCTAAGCCCTATGTACTTGAGTAGTACATAGGGCTTATGATCTTGGTTTATGATCTTGCCTGTCCGTTACAATCAGTTTGTTTGTCCCTAGACTCAGTCGTCATGGGGCTGAAGGCAGACCTTTTCTCAGTAGTCTGACAGTTGCCTTGGTAGCGTCAGGCTAAAGCAGCTTGGACTTATCTGTAACCACTTTTTATAGAGACCCTACATTGTCTTTTCATCTGTTACTCAGTCTCTCCCCTATTCCTTAGGATTTAAGTCCTTTTTAGTCAAGTGGTTTACCCTGAAAGTTGGAGGTTTTTTTTTTCGTGTGCCATATTCCTTTTTGTTCTGTCTGGTGTTTGGGGTGGCTACCTTTCTGATCTTTGTGTTTTGGCTTGTATTTTATTGTGCTTGAATCCAGATAAGTGCCATACAAACAGGTTACATAAAACGGTTTTACTTAAAATACAAGTGCTGCCTGCAATATTTGAACATGTGTATCTCCAAAACAGCATGCAGTAATTAAATTTGCTTCTTTTAAATACTATAATGTAGCTAATGGGATAATGCTATAAAGTATCTTTTCATTAGGCCATTATACAGTGGTCACCATTAAAATCTCACAAATTTTGCAAGTATGTAATGTTATCGTAGTAGTATATGACTGTACAGACATGGTATTGTGAATACTTAAGCAACATTAACTAGACACTTTCTGATTACTGTAGAATGTGTGATCTTATGAACCTTGTAGTAATTGGAGTTATGCATAGTCCTGCTTAAATGATCGATTGTATTACTATGAAATAAAAGTATGTCATATTTCACAGTGCACTATGCAGCTGTAATAAATACATTCCTGTAAACTAGATCAAATTCTTTCTATCCTTTGGGTTATTTTTCCTTTCTCCTCACCCCAGTTACTTTGACTAGAGGAATGAAATGGCCTAGTATCCCCTTAAACATTTATTCAAACTAATTCATTTTTTTCCACTAGAGGGCAGCCATGATCTTATGACTCTGTTGGTAAAATTTGACAAGACATTAATCGTAGTTTAGATTTGTTTTCAGTATTATCCTTTCAGAAGACCTGTAAGTATTCAACCAGAAATGCCAGTGCTTAAACAATTCTTAATATTATATAATCTATACTTGACCAAATTAATCCAAAAAATGTTTGTTTCAAAATAGCCTGAGGAGACTCCTCCACTTGCTGTTTCTACTGAGCCATCTGTAATTGTATCAGAGAGTGATTCTGACAAGATCCCTTCCCAAGTGCCACAGATGCTACAAGAGACAGATGTTTCCAGTCCCAATATTAAGCAAAACAGTGTGCCTCCTCCACAAAGTAAGTAACACTCAGTATGAAGATCAAATCATGCTGACTTTTTTTCTGTTAAATTTACATGCTTAATAACTGGAGTATTATTTAACCATCTGCTGGGTGCGGGGAAGGGAGAGAAGGAAGATCTATATTTGGCAAATGCACTAGCTTTTTGCTGTATGGAAACCTGGATTCAAATCATTTTTGTATCACAAATGAAACTGGTGTCTAGCATTTTCGAGTCCCTACTGGACGCTTGTATCAAGCTGTTGGAATATGAACAATTCAGCATACTTGATAAATTTTGCTTACTAAAGTCAGAACTAGAGATTCGTGTTATGACTAAGATCTTTGGCAGACTTATATGAAAAGCTTGTACAACACCGCCCTGTCTTCTTACTAACTGTAAGAAGTGCTATTAGTCTTGATTATCTTTTCTATTTTGGAATTTATAAGGGGCCAATCACTATAGTGTTTAAGGACCAGCCTTGTTGAAAAACATTAACAGTTTTTTTTCTCCCTTTGGATTGAGCAAATTTGAGTATTAATGCATAAGTGATAGATTGTAGTTCAGAATGTTTCAGTGAATTGTAGTAGTCATGAAAGAGCAAGTGATAACATGGGAGTAGTTGGGTACTGGGCAGGTGGATGTGGCATATGGCTTTCTGCCATATGCACCTCAGCCTAAACTATTGGTGGTGGTATGGTTTTTGTTTGCATTGTGCTAATTAGTACCTAGTGGCCCCAAACCAGGGATCAGGAACCTGTTCTACTAAGTACTGTACTCATATGTATCAAAAAGATGGTGCCTACCTCAAAGAGCTTGCAGTGTAAGTATATGAGGGGAGCCAACTGATGGATACAACAAATGCGGAGGGGGAGAGTACAAGGTGACAGTGAGATTGTGATTTGTGTATTTAAAGTGTCTAGAAAAGAACAAGCTAGTACACTAGACCACTGTCACTTGAGTACTAAAAATTTAGAGAATCCTAACTTAGCTACAAAAGGGCTGAAAAGCTTACTGTTGTGTAATAATTTGAAAGATTCCTAAATGTTTTAAAGCACAAAACCAGAGCCCATCATGTGAGAGGAATTTAAGTAATAGACTATTTTAAATTTAGGTTGTCATCTTTTGCATGGCTGATCAAATTGTACTTGACCTGTGGGGGGGTGGGGAGTAGAACTTTGCAAAAACTGCTTGAACAGTACATGCTATATTTCTGCATAACTTCATCGTAAATTAATGTGAAGTGTACTGAATTAATATTTTTGAAGTGAATTGTGCATAAATGTCCTGAACCTTTTACATGGGTTTCATTTTGTTTTTTGTTACAACTTTTTTAGCCAAGTCTGAAGATAGCTGGGAGTCCCCAAAACAAGTTAAAAAGAAGAAAAAAGCAAGAAGGGAAACGTGAATTTCCTGAGATGGACGTGTGTTGGTGAAACGCTGTCATGAAGATTATGCTGTTTATGCAATAATTTGTGAACATGTACAGAATTTTATATATTTCAACTGATTTTTAAAACAGAACTGCTGTGAACACGACCATCTTTAAAAAGGAATCAAAGGAAATTGTGATAGAGAGAGCAGCAGAAAGTGCTACAGTGCTGGAAGATGCTTTGAAGAGTCTTTTTTTCCCACTGTAAGGGAAAGATCTTTAAAAAAAAAAAAAATTAAAAAAAACCTGGTTTTACAACACAGTGCCCTGTTTACAACAGATTATGCCCTATCTCATCTGCAGCTGGGAATAAAGTATTGATTTTTTTTTTTTTTTTAAGAAAGGGTTGTCTGTAAAATAGTTGTCTATAAAATAGGTGGTGTTTCTTGCATCTCTTTTGAGTGATGCATAAGAAACTGAGATCTACCATTTGATTTTGCTTCATGCCTAAATCAAAGTGCTTTGATTAAATACATAATCTGCCATATTTTTACAATATGCTGGTTAGCCAAGCATGCTAACCATTAAAGGAATCACAAGTGCAAATAAAATCATTAAATAAAAATCCATTTGTACAGTTCAACCTTCATGGTTTATTATAAAAAGTTAAAGAAAATAAAAATTGGTGGGCTAAAAGGCTGAGAATGTGATTGCTGAAACTTGAGTATGGTTCATGAAGTTATTTTTGATAGCCTCTATTACATTACTTGAATTGTTCAAAGTAACAGTATATTTTAATTAAGAATGTGGCAATGTGCATAAAATCAGTTCTATTGTTTTCTACTTTATCCTTTATTCCTTTTATTTTGGGGTTGGTAGGTTGACTCATTTAAAACTCATCCCTGATCATTTTTAGACTCTTAAAATAAAATTCATATTTTCCTTTCCCCTTATCATTTATTAATTACCTTTCCCTTTGTTAATTTTTTTTTAAAGCAAGATCAGCTGTTTTCATTCACTAACTGTACAGGACTTTAAGGATTTGGTGGAGAATGAAAGAATGGCTTCAGACAGCTTTAATTGACATTGTCAAGACCACCAGTTATCAGGAATACATTTTTTTTACTGCCTTAACCTGTAGTATGTAGAATATGCATCTAGACTTCTTGAAGGGGATTAGTGTTTTTATAAGAAATTCCATGCAAGTGTAGCAGTTGTAAAATAAAGAATATTTCCCACTTGAAACTGTTGATTAAAATAGTGTTTGAGAATTGTCCTTATTTTCAGGCACTGTGTAATTGCATCGTATCAAAGTGGCAGGTTTCTTTGTATCTATAAATGTGCATGCTCAGCCATGTACACTGTAAATAGCCTTTCCAAACTTGTGTTTGATAAGGACCATAATTAACATCACTTATTGAATTCTGGTAAAGAGCCATGATTTATTTCATGTGATTGACTTTGTTGGTTTTTGTGTGGCAAAGAAATGAAGCTGTAACCAATGGTACTGATCAGCCATCCACTATTATCTTATACAGGACTGCAGTTTGATAGTATTTACTTGCAAGACAAGAATAGTTAAAGAAACAAGCTGATTTTAATTGTACTGAAGACATGCCTTACTAATTGACAGCTTTCCTAATAAATGAATACTAACTTATACAGGTATCAATACCTATGTCAAGAACATGGCAAATGTGTTTATATGTTCAAAAGTTTTGTTTAATTCAATGACATTTCTAAGTTGATTTGTTTAAAATAAATTGAGCAAATTGATAATATTGTTTTATTTACTGGAAGGGAGTAACGTTTAAGCCTTGATGCCTATCCAGGATTCCATGTAAACTGAACTGAAATACAGTTTTCCACAGGAATTTTTAAAAAGGGAATGTTAAAAATGAAATCATGTAAAGTGCTATTGCTTGTAAATAACATTTTGCTTGCTTTTTTTAGTAAGTGTGACACATACTTTACCTGTTTTAAATTTAGGTTTATAGTGAATGTCCAAAACTGTTTTGCATGGTTCCCAGTCTCTACACTTGGCTAGAAGTGGCATTCTGAGGAGGGGTTTGAGGACCTTAAGTAATGATGTTTCCCAAAAAAGCTTTAAAAATTGGATGACTTAAGTGTTATATTTTTTCGTCTCTCTTGACAGAGGGAGTTGACTGCTTAGGGTTGCCAAATAAGTCCTTGAATCACTTGACATCTTAATAAAACTTGTTGCAAATAAAGCAGACTTGCTGCTAAACAAACTGCTGTTCCTAATTTATGCACATTAATTTTCTTCTGCCCAGTCTTAACTTCAGAATGCCGTCCTCTTAGCAGCACTCCCAGTCATTTTTTCACTAGGAAGTATATGGATTGATTGTCTTGGAAAATTGGACACTAATCTTATTTGACAAAAATGGCCCCAGAGGAAGATGAAATTTGTCTATGAATGGAAGTTTAAAAATATCTACTTATTGCTTTTCTTTTACCCAAGTAATGAATAGTCTTAATGATAAACTACACCTGGAGCAGAGAGAGAAAAGAATACAGTTTAAAGAAATGAAGATGCTCGTTTTGCTGAATGTTGTGGAATGTTTTCATAATTGAATCTAATGTATTGTTCTTTGTAATATTTCCCAAATGGTTTATATACACAACTTTACAGAAATTGTGGTTGTGATGTATAAGTGGATAGTTGTTGCATGGTTTAATTTCTTTTTTTCTTTTAGGGAAAATGTACAGAATTCCTAGTGCTTTGTTACAAAGCTAGCAACCTGCAAGTTGGTTCAAGGTGGATGAAAACTGTATTTCTGATATCTCCTTTCATAAACTTAAAGGAAAACTTACAGTAGAAAAACCTTATGAAAATATTTACCGAAGAATGTATACATTAAAAATGAATTTTCAAAACGGTTTATAGAAATGCCATTAGTATCACTATTTCTCTTGGAATTTTCTCATTGGAAGCTGCCATATTACCAGTAGTTCCCCATCTGGAAGCCTGATCTGAGGAATAGGTCTTGAGTGAATGCATGACTAAAGTAGACTTTCAAAGTTAGTAAACTGCTTTATGGCTAATGTAAATGGTAAGTAATTAAATTACTCAGAAGGTTCCCAGTTGAATAAGGTAATGTAAAACATGTTTGGAATTCTTGTAGTCATGTATTCAAGTTTCATTTATATTCCACATCCTAATCTGCATACTACTGTCAAGAGGGCAGATCTTTATTTGTTGTTTTTTTTTAATTTTTTCTCTTCAGCCTAAATATACCAGTCTAGAGAGTGGACAGTATGATGAAGATAGGAAAACAAAACTTTGATGTTAGCTATACAACATGGATTAGCCCAACAGTTCATACCAGCTGAGTTCCCATCTTCATGCAGGTGAATAATTTACACCTCCATTTGAGCTGTGGAGTTCTGATTATCAGGTTTTTAGCCGTGGATTTAGTCAATATTAGTTAAGGGTTCACTTGTGAGAGTCCCTTGAACTTTCTGTACAGTCATTCACCTATTTTTCTTGCTACCTTTCAGAGGCAGTGATTACTGTCCAAGTGGATAGTGAGTTCCCAATTCTTTTAGTGGCCTGGAGCCAAGGGAACCAGCTGAAGGAACCTTGGGAAAATGAGGACAGACAGCACGTGGCTCCCCAGATGTTGCTAGATCCTCTCTGTTAACAGAACACTAAGTCCAGCAGTTCTTCTGACTTTTCTGTCCTGTTGTGAACATGCTCATGCAGTGGAAAAAATAAATCCTTTTTCAGGGGCAGCCTTCTGAATATTATCCTAGTCTATTTTGTACGGCAAGTTGCTCTGAATATTGATTTACACAAGCACAGAACCCCAAAACCCAACAGTCTGCCAGTCACTTTAAACCTGCTCATGTTCAATCATAGCTATACTTGCTGGCACTAGAACTCATTTTAACAAAGAGAGCCTAACCATATAAAGGGTCTCCCTCTCAACTTACATACCTGTTGACAACTTTGGTTTTTAAATACTTCCCCATTGTACTAAGCTGATTTTTCTAGTGAATTGAAGTACTTTTGCTTCTCCAGTGGAACCAGGATGTGTTCAGTGTTTCAGGCTAAACTTCTAGTACAACAGTGTACAGTGTTCTGAAATCCTTTAAAACAAAACAAAGCAGTTTCAGCTAACTTGGGTTTTTGCTACTCATGGCTCAATTATGGATCAAAACTCTCTGGCAATCTCAGATGAGGATTTGTGCAGCTCAAGCAATTGTAGCAAGTAGTCTCTTACCCTAAATTTACTCAGTATGTCACTTTCAGCACATGCTGGGGGAGAAGGTACAGTTCAGTAAGGACTCAACCACTCACATTGAACTCTTAAGGGGAGCTGGGACCTAAAGGGGCTCCAGGTGTTTGCCCAGGCATGGACTCCCTTGTCAGACTTTGCTGCTGAATGTTTCACTTAGCTACTCCATGAAATTTACCTTGGTGCAATTATATTTGTTCCTTCCCATTTCAAAGTTCTAATCTTGCAAGTCGCTGTGTTACTTGGGCACCATGATTCCCACATGCTTGTCTGACTGGGGGAGGTGTCAATCCTGTTAAGGTGCCAATAGATACCAGCACAGGAGCAGACCACTGTTCGGCACAGTGGATTTGGGGGTCACTGTGGCACTTTAAACTGACAGCATTGTTAGTGGGCTATCAAATGGTGTTTAGGCTTCTATCCAAAGGATAGCACTTATATGACCATCCATCTCTAGACAGCTAGCTAATACAAGCAAAATCATTTTCAGGTATCACCCAAATTGTCAATGCAGTTTGGTCCTTGGAAGCTCATGCTGGGTTATAAAGGCAGTCAGAAGCGAGCCATCCCACCTCATGTGCTGCTGTAACTGGGAACTAGGCTACATTCTTGAGCACCCATCACCAGTCTTGTGATGGAGTGTCTGTCATTTTGCTATAATCCGAGCTATTGAACACAATGAGAGTCTGAGCCTCAGCCAGAGTGACTTTAAAGAGTGGGAACTGTCACGTGGTGAGCTTCCTTGATAATGATGGGAAATGTAGGTGCAAGTGACGTAGTAGTCACCCAGCTCAATGCTCTATCTGTGGTTGTCCATATCTTCACCCATGTGACTTCAAACAGGCATATGCCATTTCCATCTGATGAATAGAGAAGGTCCTCCAGAAAACATCCACATCAATGGATAAAGATTGCTCTGGTAGTTCCAAAGTGGTCCGGGAGACCTGTCTATCTAGTTCTCATAAACCTAATCCTCAGTTTATGCCATCCATCTTCCTCAGGCAGGATCTGTTTTCCTGTGGCCAGTGTTAC